TTTTTGTAAACACTTCCAGGTGTAAAAGCTGGTGGTTTAAATACCTATTTCTCTATTGTTTCTTGTGCTTTTATTCATTTTATTTCCTCAAACACCTGAAAAAAATAGTTCTGCTGTCCAAAGCTGGATTACCTAGAACATCTTCCACAATTGCTCTACAGGTAAGATACACCCTTACAAACTGCATTTACAAATTTAATTACCAGGACTTCAGAAGCTCAGGTAGGAGGAAGGCAGTTGATACAGCAGTTTAAGACACTGTTTGGAACGCAGTCACCTCTAAGAGAGCACCTGGATTCAAGTTCAGCGCCTCCATTTCCAACCCAGTTTCCTGCTAACACGCACCTGGGGTAGAAGAGGCGCCTAGCCCTGCCACCTGAGTGAGAGACCAGAACTGAATGGCTCCCAGCTTAATCCAGTCTCCAGTTAATAACGGGCATTTAAGCAATGAATTGGCAAGTGCAAGATCTTTCTCTCCTTAGCTTCCAAATTTACAAAAAAAAAAAAAAAAAAGTAAGTCGGCTGGAGTGATGTCTGCCAAGTCTGACATTCTCCTTTTGCTACAGAAGAAAAGCTCCACAGATCTTCCAACAAGACTGCGTTTGCAGGGTGAGCACTGAGGCGCCGTGGGCCACCATCTGGATCAGCAGAATCCCACATGACATGCCCTGATACACTGCCCCCTGCAGACCAGCCTCCCGCCAATGCAGCAATGACCCAAGTGCCCGACTTCCTGTCACCCACGGGGAGAGCCACATCAGGGTCCTGGCTCCTGGCTGTTACTAGCATGAGGGAATTATCAGTGTCTCCTGGTCACTCTAACTTTCAAATAAAAAGATAAATCTTTGCTTTAAAAATACTGCCTTCACTTCTATTTCTGCATCACTGAAAAAGTACTAACAGACTTCCAAACCAGCTGGCCGTATTCAAAAGCCCAATTTACTCGTTCTAGATCCTCTGACCACACTAACCAACCACTTCACGTTGTTTCTGACTACACGTACTGCTCACCACATCCCTACAGTACAAATCCTTGACGCGAATGCACACTGAACATCAACTGCATGCCAATCAGTGTAATCACTTAAGTTCCAAAATGAAAAATCTAATTTAAATGTAATAAAATCTCCAGCAACACCATCACAGATGGACTAAATTAACTGCTAAACTCAGCCAGTGTGGACAGAGATCCCATGAAGTAAGGTCGACAAGCAAAGCCCACAGCGATCACCGTCATGGAAAGCCGACCTGAGCCATGACCTTCCTAACGCCTCTTCCTGCACACCACAGCATGCAACTTCATTTTGCAAAACTTCTACTTGATTGATTTGAGAGGCAGGAGATGCAGAGACACAGACGTCTTCCATCCCCTGTTCGCTCCACAATTGGCCACAATGGCTGGGGTTGTGCCGGGAAAGCCAGGAGCTTCTTGCACTTTTCCCATGTGGGTCGAGGGGCCTGGAACCCACTAAGCCATAACCCTGGTCCCAAGGTTACATAACTGAAGAACTCGCTTCTTCCCAAATTACCGTTCATGAATCTACTATATTATATACCAAGTTTCAGCAACCTGGGCATGGCATGATGGCCCAGCGGCTAAAATCCTTGTCTTGAACGCGCAGGGATCCCTTATGGGTACACCAGTTCGCATCACTGCTGCTCCACTGCTGACCTGGGAAAGCAGTCAAAGACGACCCAAGGCCTTGGGACCCTGCACCCACGCGGGAGACCTGAAACAGGCTCCTGGGTTCAGACTCAGCTTTGCTCATTGCAGCCGCGCGGGGAGTGAACCAGCCAAATGAAAGAGTTGTCTCACTGTATCTCCTTCTCTCTGTATATCTGCCTTTCCAATAAAAATAAATATATCTTTAAAAAAAAAACCTGGGCATGGTACCATAACCAAGCGGCTAAAATTCTCACACTGCACAGTCTGGAATCCCCTGTGGGCGCCTGTTCATATCCCGGCAGCCCCACTTCCCATCCAGCTCCCTGCTTGTGGCCTGGGAAAGCAGTGGACGGCCGTTGTGGCCGCTTGGGGACGAGAGCCGAATCAACAGACGGAAGATCTTCTGTCTCTCCTCTTTGGTAATATATGATTTCCCAATATTTATTTTTAATGCAAAGTCAGATATACAGAGCGAGCGAGCAGGAGAGACAGAGAAGAAGATCTTCCGTCCGACGATTCACTCCCCAAGTGAGCGCAATGGCCGGTGCTGTGCCAATCTGAAGCCAGGAACCAGGAACTTCTTCCAGGTCTCCAATGCAGGTGCAGGGTCCCAAGGCTTTGGGCCGTCCCTGACTGCTTTCCCAGGCCACAGGCAGGGAGCTGGATGGGAAGTGGAGCTGCCGGGATTAGAACCGGCGCCCATATGGGATCCTGGCGCATTCAAGGCGAGGGCTTTAGCCACTAGGCTACGCTGCCGGGCCCAATAAGAATAAATCTTAAAAAAGCCTAAACACTGTGATTCTCTATGTCCTTTGCAAGCATACAAAGCTTGTGTTTCAGAAACGGAATTCTTCACTAAGTCATCCCTTTGCAGTTAGCCTACACCATTATTATTCCATCATTACACAATCATTTTGTATTTTTATTTTTCTCCAACTTCACTTTTCTTCTCATTCACTTCATTCAATGCTGTGTCTCAAATTCTATCCTTAAGAATCAAGCATTCTTGGGCCCAGCGCGGTGGCCCAGTGGTTAAGGTCCTCGCTTTGCACGCACGGGATCCCATATGGGCGCCAGTTCTATCCCAACAGCCCCGCTTCCCATCCAGCTCCCTGCCTGTGGCCTGGGAAAGCAGTCAAGGACGGCCCAAAGCTTTGGGACCCTGCAGCCGTGTGGGAGACCCTGGAAGAGGCTCCTGGCTTCAGATCGGCATAGTATCGGCCCGTTGCACTCTCTTGGGGAGTGAATCATCAGATGGAAGATCTTCCTCTCTGTCTCTCCTCTCTGTATATCCGCCTTCCCAATAAAAAAATAATAAAAATAAATCTTAAAAAAAAAAAAAGAATCAAGCATTCTTCAAGTTTGACGTTCTGACCTCATGTTTATTCACAAGCCTGCAGTTGCCAGCTTTTCACCATTAGGTGGTGTCCCGACTGAAATTTTAACTTCATTTTTGAAATTAACACTCCTCGTTTGTAAGGAAAAGAGAAAAAGTTGTAAAACCAGTTAAAACACCCACTCGCAGGTATAAAGGTTGATTATATTCACTTCCTCCGAATCAACAGACATCAGCCAGCACCGAGCACCCCGGAAGCTGGCCTTTAAGACAACTCAGCCACAGGCCTGCAGGTGCCCCCCAGCTGACAGGACCCCCGGGGAGCACGCTCCGGAAAACCAACTGTAAGAGGCAAAGACTATCCCAACCCGAGCCTCGTTTGGGAACCTGCTGGTATGAAAACTCAAAAGGTGGCGATGGCTACAACTCTGTATTTGCCTTCATGTGCCCCACATAAACTCAACGCGCAAGGGCAAGTGGCTTTACCCATTACACTACCACTTAAAATGAATCTGCTGTGAAGAAGCTATGTGCCATTTACTCGCAGGAATCTATCGGTATCCGCGATTTGAAATCCCTACCTTACACAGTCACCTCAAACTCCAAAGCCGCCTTGCAGCCGAAATCACCTCCCAAACCATTCCAACAAGAGGATAAACTTCAAAAACGCTAATGCCCCAAAGGATGCACAACTCGTCCGCAACGCTCAAGACCTCTCCGCATCTCCCACAGCATCGCAGAACCAACTTCCAAGGCCACATTTCTCAACCCTTTCTTCCACTTCCTACCAAGTCAGCAACACGCACAAACCTCTGCACAGAAAGGCCACTCCCACGTCAGATTTCGTGCTCCGCATTAATCCCCACGAGGAAGAGCAAGCACTCAACACTCCCCGAGAGAACAAAGGCCCAACTCCGGAGAAGCACCTGCACATAGTCCAGATTCAACTTCCCAGGGAACAAGGCAGCAGGGTGGGCTGCCAGGAAGGGACCAGTTAGAGCTTTCACGGAACCACTTTGGCATGTTAAAAAAAAAAATCATTGGGGGTGGTGGCGGTGGGAAGTGATTAAATCTTTCCGAAAGACAGCCATTCGAAAGAACGATTTCGAAAGCTTCTTTTCTTTACCGTCCCCTGTTTGGGTCATTTAAAACTTTATCATTAAAATTAGCTTCCTTAAAAACACACTTAAAAGTCAAAGTTCAGAGGCTACCCCCTGCGGCTGGCGGCCCGGCCTTCTCTTCGCCACTGGGTGTGGAAAAAAACTCCGAGTTTACACACCTGGGTGGCAAACTAATCTTGAAAGAGCAAGTGGCAATCCCCGAAAAGCTTCGTTTGACACACGGAGCTTTTGCCTTTCACACTTCCCACATCAAAACGACTCCTTCCCGTAGCTGGCTACGCGGCTACCAACTTGAGTTACATAAACTAGACCCCACATCTTGCGAGAGGGAAGGAGAGACACACAAGGTGGCCGTTTAAGAAAGCCCAAAGGCAAGTTTCATAAACTTCCCTAACACTCCCTCGGCGAGGTCTAGAAACGGGGTCCTCGCGTTCCGCCCCCCGCCCCGGACCCCCGACCCCCTTTATCCCGCGGACGGCGACGACGCGGACTGCGTACGTCTGCCCCGCGGCGAGGGATTTAAAACAAACAGAAAGGGAATAAAAAGGGACGGGCGGGCCTGGGGCCCGACGCTCCCCCGAGCCCCCCGGCCGAGCGCGGCGCCGCCGGTCGCTCCCGCGCGGGCCCCACCCGCAACGGCCGCCAGGCTCCGGCCAGGGCGCGGCGGGGGGACCCCGACCCCGGGCGGCCCGCCGGCTCCCTCGGGCCCCGCTCCCCGACGGCCCCAGGCCCGGCCCGCCGCCCCGCGCGCGCACGCACACACACACACACACACACACACACGCCATGGCCACCGGCCGGCTCAGCGCCGTCGCCGCCGGACCCCGTCTACGCGGCGCCCTCGATCTGACCTCGGCGGCCCAGGGCGGTCCCTCACCGAGGACGCGGGCGGGCTGGCGGCCGGGCGGGTGGCCGGCCGGCGGCGGGAAGTGGGCGGAGGCGAGGGTGGGAGGCAGCGGCCCGGGCTCCTCTCTCGGCTCCGGCACGGCGGCGTTGGTGACGGCGGCAAAGACCTCGCGCTTTCCTTTCTCTCCTTTCTCCAACAACAAACAGGAAGTGCGTCACGCCGCCGCGGCGGCGCGGCGACGTCGGCTTCCGCCCGACCCTCACGGCGCCGCGCCTGCGCGGTAGCTGCTGCCCGAGCTCCCCGCCTCCCCCGCCGCCTCGCGCTCACTTTTCGCGAAGGTTCTGCGTCCCAGCTGGACTCCTGGTCTGAGAGGGTTCGGTGGCTCTCAAGTTCCGGGCGCTGAGTGCCCGAAAGGGCGTTTCAGGGGCTAAGCAGTGCAAAAGAGGCCGGAACCCCCCACCGGCTACGCTTGACCGTCGGGCTATGACCGTGCCAATCCATAGAACTCTATTCTTCGCAGGGGCCTGAGAACTGTGAAATTGGACGTGCTGCCTAAAGAACGTTCTGACCTTGTTTAACGTGCTTCCTTTCTTTATAACCCTCCTCTGGAGTGCGCAGTCGTGCCCTAGAAATCTAAGGATGAAGAGGTTCGAGACCAGAAGGGTGCCAGCCAGTCTCATCCACTTGTCCCCAAACTCCCTTCAAACCATTTCTTGACAGACGGTGAGCACCTCTGAGATTGCTCAAGTGGCTAAATCGGTGGCAGGAAATGAAAGCAAGATACGGCTGAAACACAGGAGATGAGCACGTTTAGGTTGAATTAGCTAACAAGTTTCCTGAAAAAGTTAACCGATTTTTGGTAGCTCAAGATTAAGCCCCTCTCTTGTGTCTGAGACTTATCTTGCATGATCCCTGAGTCTCAGATAGGCAAAGCAAAGATGGTGAGCAGATGGAAAACTCTCCAGTCCCTGCTTGTGGAAATCAGGAATGAAAGAAAACAGCTTAAGAGAGCCAAGGTTCAGTGCTGCAAACAGATGATACATCTGTGAATCGGCCTGAATGACTTGCTGCCACAGGTGTTTGTCTTCTATGTAAGTGAGTGTGTTCTAACCTATCCTAATGTTGAAAGAAAGAAAAAAAAAAAAAAAAAGCTCTTCAACATGCCTTTTTAAATGTAAGATGCTGAGAGAAAACAATACTGGGTTGAGGCCCAGCTGCTCTGCCTTCTAGAAGCTCCCTGGCTTGTAGTGGAGGATGGCCCAACTACCCGTCAGCATGTGGGAAAACCAAATGCAGTTCCAGGTTCCAAGCTTCACTTTGGTCCATCCCAGGTACAGTGGTATCCATTTGAGAAGTGGACCATACCCGCTCTGTCACTCTGCCTTTCAAATAAATGGTTGTTTATCCACCTCAGAAACGAAGACCCTCCATCCACTGGTTCACTCTAGGTGCCAGCTGCAGATCAAACTGGGCCATAGCTGGGAATATAAAACTCAGTCCCTAGTTTGCCATGTGGGAAGCAAGATGTCAAGAACTTAAGGCACCACTTGCTGCTTATAAAAATAGACTTTGGAAGAAAGAAGCTCAGGCAAGACTCAAACCCAGCTATTCCAAAGACTACATATCCCAAGAAACATCTTAACCACTCTGCCAAATGGCTACTCCTACAAGACATCTTTTTTTATGTTTAAGATTTACTTATTTGAACTGAAGATCTCTTCATCCCTGGATCATTCACCAAACATTCTGAATAGCTGGAGTTGGCCAACCCAAAGCTAAGAAGGAACTCCGTCTAGCTTTTCCACATGGATAGCAGGAATCCAGCTACTTGGGCCATCGTCAGCTGCCACCCAGGTGCGCTAACAGGAAGCTGGGAAAGTGGGGCTGGATCTCAGACACAACAGTATGAAATGCTAGCATCCCAACTAGAGACTTGACCTGTTCTGCCAGAGCCTACCCGGGAGGCACTCTTAACACTTGCGTAAGTAGCTCTGGAATATGATGCTCTTGTGCATGAAACCTGAAGCTTTGTGAGTAGACACCCAAACACCAAAATGACATATCAAAATAGAGTCACTAATACCAAAAGTCAAATGGAAATCAAGCTATGTGACCAGCAAAAATCACCATGAAGAAACAACAGCTGGGCCCTGCGTGATAGCTTAGCAGCCAAAGTCCTTGCCTTATATGTGTAGAGATCCCCTTTGGACACCAGTTCACATCCCAGCTGCTCCACTTCCCATCCCATGCCCTGCTTATGGCCTGGGAAAGCAGTCCAGGACGGCCCAAAGCATTGGGACCCTGCACCAATGTAGGAGACACGGAAGAGGCTCCTGCAGGCTCCTTGCTTCAGATCAGCTCAGCTCTGGCCATTGCGGCCACTTGGGGAGTGAAACAGCAGATAGAGGATCTTTGTCTCTCCTTCTCTCTGTAATTCTGTCTTTCCAACAAATAACCCTTAAAAAGGAAGGAAGGAGTGAGTGAGAAACTGCCATTCCAAATAAATTGTAAAAATCTTTTTTTAAAAAAAAATGGATGCTAAACTAAACTGTTGTACTTTGTCTTATGACAGATTGAATGCTAAACATCCTAAGGTGTTGAAATGGGTTTCTTTTCCCCTAAAGCTTTCTTATTTTTTTTAAAGATTTATTTATTTTTATTGGAAAGTCAGATATATAGAGAGGAGGAGAGACAAAGAGGAAAATCTTTTGTCCAAGGATTCACTCCCCAAGTGACTACAACGGCCACTGCTGTGCCAATCTGGAGCCAGGAACCAGGAACTTCTTCCAGGTCTCCCACATGGGTGCAGAGTCCCAAGGCTTTGGGCCATCCTTGACTGCTTTCCCAGGCCACAGGCAGGGAACTGGATGGGAAGAGGGGCTGCCGGGATTAGAACCGGTGCCCATATGGGATCCTGGTGCATTCAAGGCGAGGACTTTAGCCTCTAGGCTACCGTGCTGGGCCCTATAGCTTTCTTATTGAAGGCAACTGGAACACTTGATTAATGGTTCTATTTCTTCTATTTCAAAGCAAAACATTATATTATATTGTCTATTTTTTGTGTTAATAAGCCCTAGTAATGTTTCTTTATAACATATAGTTTTTAGTAGGTGCCCAGGCAGGCAAAGAAAAAACTTTTAGTATCTGTTCTTTATTTAGTAGATTATATAAGTGGTCAAAAGTAAGAAACAACACAGTACTTAGTTTTAATATGGACATAGCAATGAGAAACTCTAAGATAATTTCAACGAAAACTGGGATTTCATTTGTATATATGCAGTTTGGCACTGTCGCATGTAACCATATCTGTCAGCATGTTGATGGAGTTTTATTTCCATTCAAGTGTTGACAGTACTATCATGTGACATTTCACATTCAAATAAGTCCCTGGAGCAATTGTGAGCTAATCTTGAAATGCAGACACATGAATTTTAAATAGTAAGTGGCAGGCTAGCCACAAATAGCTTTTTCTTTTCCCTCTTCGAAAACATATATATAAACATCTGTCAAGAGAATGAGCTATATCATGAGATAAACCAACTAGTACAAAAAAAAAAAATTTCTGGCCCTGATACAGTTCCCATACTAGTTGGGTAGAACAGGCATAAATTCCTTCAAAATAAAATTACCTGGCACTAATTAAGTCATGGTGAAGCAGAGACAATCCTTCAATGACGATTAAGGGTTTTCATAGTTAGTGTTAACTATGTGTGCTGCTACTGGAAACTCGAGAGGAAAATCATCTCGGAATGGACCAGAAAGGATTTATAATAAGAGCCAAAAGCATTTGCAGAGGAGCTCAGAGACAAGGATGCAAAAGCACAAAATAAGCCCAAGGCAAGGGTGCCAGTCAGTTTGATAAGAGAAAGGCTTTTGAACAGTGACAGAGATGAGAGATGCCACATGCCCAAAAGTAATTTGCCTTTTAGGCAATGGGAAGCCATTCAAGTTTTCTGATTCAGGGAAGCCAAACAGTGACTCGTCTGTGGTTTGGAAAAAGGATAGAAGAGTGAGGATACCAGAAACTGGCTTCCTTACCTCATCTGTAAAGTAAGGATAATGGGCTTGATGTGGATGACACTCAATTGTGCCTGCTTAACCCAGTGCTGGGCACACAGTGATACTCATTATCTTAATAGCTCTTCTGTGTCATGGGGCTCTTGGAAAACCTGAGAAAAGGTAGGGGCCTCGGCCTGAAAGAAGATGGGAATGATACGAGCAAACCCATACATGCACATTCCAGCGTGCACATCCCGGATGACTGAGATATCCCAGGAAGGCCCTCAGTGACACTCGGCAGTTTTAGGAAAACATACAATTTATTTTTGTCCAATAACAACATTTGCAGAAATTTGCCCTGAGACAATAAATGCAGAAGCAAATGGGGGAGAAGAAACACACAAGGTTATTAATTGCAAGTTTCCAGTGGATTAAGCTGTTGCTTATAAAACCTATATCCCATATCAGACTGCTATTTCAAATCATAGTTGCTCTGCTTTAGGTCCAGCTCACGTGGGGCCTGGCCACCCACAGGGAAAGCCTGGATTGAATTCCAAGATCCCTCCTCTAACTGGCTGAAGCAGTCCTAACCATTGCAGCCATTTGAACCAGTAGATGAAAGATCTCTGTTCCTTTGTTCTCCCTCCTGTCATTCCGCCTTTGAAATAAATCATGTAAAGAATTCTTTTAAAAATGTTTTCTTGAACTCCCTGCTAAGAAACTGCTCCCACTGGTGAGCATGAGAGCTGAGACTCAGGGTAGACCAGTATAGGCATAGCTGCAACACCCGTCAGCCTGGGTTGGGAGAGGGCCGGATGAGGCTAGCCCACTGCATCCATGGGGACATACAAAAGCCAGAGTAAGTGCTCACCAGCTGGCTAAATTTAAGTGCTTTGCTACATTATCCACTGGCAAGTGCCAGGATGGGAGGCAAAATCATGTTAGGCTGGACCACAGTGCTCACTGGCAGGCATAAGATCCAGGATTGGGAGTGGGCCTAGTAGGGAAACTAAGCTGCAGCTCCCGCTAGTGAGCATGACGAGGCCCAGGGCTGGGGATAGACCAGGCTGAACAAGGCAGCAGCACCTGTCAGCATAGGTGTGGGCTGCTCTGGGGGTGGATCATGCTGAGCTAAGCTGCAGGCCACGGGCATGTGTGACAGCTGGAGGGAATGCAAGAGGAACTGGACTAC